CTACAAACGAATCAGAAAATGTAGCTGGCTCTGACTCTGATGTTAACACGTTTACATTTTCTATACCTTCACTTAGAGATGGATTATTTTCGTCACTTGTTTTCAACTTTTTAAAAAGAAGTTTATTTCACTTTGTCGTTTTTGTGACATTTTAAAACATAATAATTGAACACAAAACTACAAACGAAAACACTACGGACATCAGCACGAAATACGAATTACACACGAGTGACTGTAAAATTACTAACATTTTAAAACGATGATAACAATATAGAAATGGATTAGTGAGAATCGTGTGACAAATAAAATAAAATAAGATAGCGATGGCCAGTAGGAACGTTACATGGCAAAAATAGCCGGTCTTCCGCCTAATTTAAGGCGAAATGCCTTTATACCCGCATAATAAAAGTAATAGTAATATGTTTGGGAGAATTTCTTATATAATGATAATATAATAATAATATAAATTATAAGTATATAATGATAATATTTCTTAATTTATAATATGTGTTTGAGCGAAACAATATAAAATATAAAATTCTAAAAATCAATCATAAAAAATAATAAAACCTAACTTATGCCACTGGAGAGAGGGGTAGCGAGGCCCTTCGCCCCCCCCCCTTAAATCCGCCACTGATCAGGTAAATAACATTTTTTTCATTTTTAAAATAGTATAGGTAAGCCTGGTTTATAATTTTTGCTTTACTAGATAGAAAGCATTCCGCATCTAAACGACATAGGTATATTTGTCAATCGTGATTTAACAAACGATGAAAAATATTGTGTGAGTTATTTTTTGCTTAAAGGTCTTATTAAAGAAAAGAAAATGTGTTTATTTTTCAATAAATAATCTTATACCTATCTAGGCGTTAACTAAAGTAGGATACCACTGCCTACATATAAATTGTAGCTTTATATTCTTAAAAAAATCTTGTAACTATGTTAGCGATACACAAACACGTGATTGTTACACCAGATGTAGTGTTGAATGAGATGGCCTAGAAACCAAGAAAGATATAGAAATTCTCATTTAGTTAAAAACTAATTAATGTATTGTATATTTAAATTAATATATTAAACTTGTACCTATGTATATAATGTATTTACAAATGGAAATATTTTTGAATAAAATGAATATCCCCCCCCCCCCTTCAAAAAACTGATTGCAGTCGTACAATGCAGAGATATTCGAAACTGTTGTCTCTTCGATTCATGTCCCTTTACATTGCAAACAATTAGCAAAATAAATCAGTCCTTGAAATTTCGTGAGTGTTTCAATAAAAACCTGGGCGTCTCCTTGAGTACAATGCACCTTTTGCCTGGAATATTTCACATATAATATATAAATAAACAATGTATATTATATATAATTATGCTATTGATTTTTTAGATAATAGCATATACCTTCTACGAACCGGTGACAGTGACAGGTCATTTTCAGAATGAAACAAATTGGAAATAAGAATTTCGAGAATAATGATTTTAGTTATTTTATTGTAATTTAAAAAATATTATTCGTTTGTACTTTTAACTTTTGTACATGAGTACATTGTTACATTTAAATAGTATATACACACCATGGCATTTTAAATTTCAATTATTTGGCCAACTACGGAAATTGTAAAGCTCACAAAATCTTTTCAAGCAATCCAACAATCAAAAAATAAAAATCACCCAACTCAAGATAACACCAAACCGTCTCATTACTATAATTTAGTTCATAATAATTATCTTAGCAATAATAACGTTAGTAATGTATACACTACTTTAATTTATAATTCTGTCGCTCCAAGCTTGTAGCAAAACCTCTTCAGGCCAGACCTGTCTCAAACTCCAGTCCTTTATTGGTGATAAAGCCCTTATCTCTCCTGATCACGGTCATTAACAAGCTCATTACCTCCATCAATTAATTACTAAATTAACCATAATCATTAGGTTAAACAAAGTTGAATTTATTATTATTGTGTCACTTTTTTTAATTGTTGTTTTATCCTTGTATATTGTACTGCCATGGGTTATCGACCCCCAGACCATCATAAATCATAATTATATTATGTTATGACGTTTAACCGCAATAGGTACTACTTAATATCACACAGATCAGGCACCAGAATAGTATATTTAAAAAGTGTAATACACTAATACTGCATCGATATGAAAATTATTTTATGAATTTTATATTCAAAAAAAATTATGTATAGTCAGTAAGAAAGTTTTCCATCTCTCTATTTGATGTCTTTTTTAAAGGTTTATAATATATTAAACGTATACGTGTAGCAAAACGTTCATAGTAAGGTGTGACTTTATCCCCTTCAGTCTATACACAATAATACAACAACAGTTTTAATACTACATTTTGTAGTGTATATTGACTAAGAATCCGGCCATGTAGATCCGTCTCCATTCGAGTTCAATAATAAATAAAAATATTGTTTCTGTATTCTGTACATAAGAAACTTCTACATTTTACTTTTCAGCTACAATACTACACACAATATATAATTTATGAAGTTGGACGACGTGGCGCAGCACCGTGACACCAGTGTGTTCCGTATAGCGTTGAACGGCACTGCGGAGTGCGGATCGCTATGCCTTTCATTTCTAGACTTCACTTTATTCTCGTCGGTAGTGCTCTCCTTTTCGACTCCTTTCCTCGAGCAACGAGACAAGCAAGTACCTACAGACTATTTTTCTTTTTCTCGTCACCCTCAAACCGACAATGATCGTTTTCCATTCGGTACGCCATCGGTTGGCATAACATTAATAATAATCACAACTTATAGGTACGACGGCTTTTAATATAATATTATTTTACTGTTTTCATCGTCCATTGACGCCAATGTCGATTTTGCATGTCTTGAAAGTATGAGTTTGTGTTTTTGTTCATTATATCCGTCGTTTCTGCAATGTTACGTCACGATTTGACAGCGAGAATTTGTGCATTGCTGGCGATTGCGATACATTTTTGCCACGAAAGACGGGAGAACTGCCTAGCACGGTGAGCGTGAGAAAATAGTGTACTTCATCATACAGAGTATTCGGGTTGGTTAATCTAACTGCTGCTTGCTGCTTATTTTTACTACAGCTGCAATCACGTAAAATCGAGGATGACTATGGAACTCCGAGTAAGTACTTATAACACAATAGTTGCATCATGTTATTTAGCACTCATGCCGAATCAACGCTTTAAACATAAAATATACTAATTTGTTTTAAATATCTTTTATAATAATTTTTTGGCTGGTTATTTGATTTTTTAGAAATTCATTAAAAAGCATTAAATTATTTTAGCAACGATTTACCAATTTTTAAGTTTTCATTTTATTATCCATAGAAAATATATTTAAAAAATATTACATATGACATGAATATCAATTTAAAAACCATTTTATAAAATAAAAATGTAGATTATCTATTTCTTATAAAAAATATGTAGATATAGCATATACATATTTTAATTTATTTATGTGTGTTGCCAAGTATAGTTTGACAATGCTTGTTAATATAGATTAACAAGACTTAGACAAAATTATTATTATGTATTTATAAATGCAATATAATACAATAAAAATTAAAAATTGTATACAATTTTTAATCAAAAAGTAAAGAGTTCAAATGTCTTATAAACAAAATTTGGGTTTTGTAAATAATATTATATAAATATTGGCTTAAAAATCTTATAAAATAATTTCTTTACATACATATTTTTTGGATTATTATTTAAATTCAATAAAAATAATGTTTAAAACATGTTTTTAAACGATTACAATATAAAATTAATAATATTATATTATTGAAATTTTTTTTTTCAATAATACCTACCTAAATACCACAATTTTTTTTTTTTTTATTAATTGTTTATGGCATCAACTGCATGGTTATTAGCAAGGGGAGTTTTGGGACTGTTGGGTTACTGTAGGGTTACTGTAGGGTTCGGAACACGTGAGTGTTTGTTTTTGGCAGAATTGCTAGTGGGCACCCGTAGGTTTCTGCCAATGCCCAGTTGGGGGATGGCGGTACTTGTTCTCCGATCACCACGACTTGTCCGGAGAAAAATGCTGGCTGGTGACCTGCGTCGCAGCGAACGCGTCAGACCGAGTGATACCTCGTCCCCCAAACCACAAATTATAGGAAGCAAAAAAGGAAAAAGATAAAATTTAAAATTTTCAATTGAAATTTATTTTTCTATTTAATTATTTTAAATACTGGATAGTGAATACTAACCTGTATAATAATTTATATCTACGTTGTTGATACACATTTAATCAATTTATAAATATAATAAAATAAAATTATTTGATTAACTGTTAAGTATAAATGATCCCATGGGCGTTCTCACGGGGGGGGGGGGG